TGGTAACTTTTAAATAAGAAGTGACAAGTTCTTCAGTTAAACAAGCTTTTAGCCATTAACAAATCAGACATTTCCTTCAGGGCTTGGTGATTAAAACGATGTTGCACAATCAAATGAATGATCGTCCAGGTGCCAAAGCACGCAAGCCTATTTGTGCTACTCTTTCTCCTTCAGGTGTTGGACAAATCTGATGCCAAAAACTTGAACATTCACTGGTTGAGGTCCCAGATAGGCATCGTCTCCCAGGAGCCTGTGCTGTTCGACTGCTCTTTGGCTGAAAACATTGCCTATGGAGACAACAGCCGCAAAGTCAGCATGGACGAGATAGAGGCAGCGGCCAAAGCAGCCAACATTCACAACTTCATAGAGGGTTTGCCACTGGTAATGTCATTATACTATTTTATAGAAGATTCCATGTAAAGATAAGGGTCAAATCCAGTGTCAGTAAAACAGACTGGGTGGATAAAGAGGTGGTCAAAAAAAGCAGACTCAGGGTTACAGCAAGAAAGGAGGCTGAAACACTGAATCTAAACAAAGATGGACTCTGATGTCAGCTTTGTTTTTAATGCGTCACAAAGCTGCCTAGAGCTGCCTCTGCCCAGCTACCACAGGGTTTTACTGTGAGGGAAGTTTAGTACAGCCAGGATGTCTTTGTGTTGCCCTCAAAACCTAAAGCCTTAGAATGAGTCTCAACTTTATGCTGTTTCTGATTCAGGCTGTGCACACCAACACTTGATGGCTGCTATAAAATGATCCCTATGAGTGTCACCTACTCCAGAGATTTTTATCACATCGCATGATGATAAAATGATGATAAACATCTAAAGAAGATTTAAAAAAATGTAACCGTAAGAGGCAACACTGCTGCCGATAAGATAATAGATGACTACAAGAAATCATTGATTTATTGCCTGGAGCTAACTATACACTTCAAGTTTGTTTTTTGTTGTTTTATGCTCTCTCAGTACTGCTGGTTTTTGATGTGATGGTTTCACATTAGAAACAAACAAAGATCAATTTAACTTTGAAACTTCCGAAATGTCTTCGATACAGTATTTAAGACTCGTCATCCAGATCGCTCAGATGGCATTTCTTTTGCTTTTTACGTCCTTTAAAATGTTGAATTTGCTGCTTGTATTTGACAAGCAGTTAACTGGTCAGTGCTGAGACTTTAAAGTGCTCTGATCAGGAGGCAGACTGAAACCTGATAGTAATGTGGTGGTTTCAAAGCATTTTGCTGATGAACTGTAGACTAGATGCTGGTCTGTGGTTTTTGAGAGATCTGGGATCTTGCCACCAATTTAAAATCTTCAAACATTAGTTTAAAAGTATAAAGCACTAATCAAAAAGCACTATACAAACTGTTGTGGTTGCTGTCACTATCGAGTCATCTTTGAGTAATTCTTTCAGCCCTGTATTGTATTTTTGTAGGGTCTTTACCTTACAATATAAAGTGCTTTGAGGCAACTGTTGTTATTTGGCATTGAATAGAGCTCCATCCTTTTGTAAAGGTCTCGTGCCTTTCTGTTTCTGCTCAACTACATTAACCCCAAGATGGACGAGGTTGGGTTTAGTAACATTTATTCCACTCTCATGGACCTGAAATATTTTGTCATGATAAAGCTGTAGATGAAAGGTTGGTGTGATTGCCCCCAGGTTTCTTTAAGATGATGTAAAGATAAGGCTTCATAGGTCAGATGGAGATGCTGTAAAGGGGACCATAAGTCAGCTAAAATTAAAAATTGTGAAATGGTGTACAAAGGTAATTACAGCAACAATGCAAGTCTCCTAAAGAGGCCTTTGTGGAAAAACCTTTGTTGAAAAACCTTTGATCAGTGTTTTTACTGCTGTGATAAACAAACTTGGTGGTGCTTTATTTTTCCACCTGCAGGTTGAAAAGCATAACTGGGATGGAGATGGCAGCTCAGACAGAACACAATTGGTGTAGTAAGGTGGATCCTGTGGAGGTCGGGTGTAAAGGGTTTATTGCTAAATCTACAACTAAGCTCCTACAGAGAGTGGGGGTGTGAGGGCAGGCCTTTCAACGAGCAGTCAAGTCACTCTGAGAGTGCTGAACGAAGCAGCAGCTGGTTGTGGACAGGGGTACAGCTAGGCTGGGACATTAAGGGGTGATAGCAGAAGGGGAGTCACATTACGTGTCATGGGCATAAAATCAATGTAACACTGAGGACAGTGACCACCTGACAATCCCAGTGAAGTGGTTTACCTCCTCTCCCATTCAAGACACCAGAGGAATCTGTACTGATTACTGGAGGGCTTGTATCATTAAGCCTTATGAGTCAACAAATGTGAATGGTAATCATGCAGGAGGCCAGCTGAAGATGAATGTGTTATTGTACATGTGAAAATGATTTCCTGCCAGCATTTTATTAACTTGGCAATAAATGTAGCTATTATTATTATTATTATTATTATTATTATTATTAATAAACCTCAAAGTATACTTTTTAAGAAATTTGTCAGCTGTGAGGAGTGATTGGATCCATACTTTGTATAGTTTTGACCATCTATAGTAACACAACTATGCCCTCTCATTGTTTTGTTTGTTTTTTCCATGAGCAGAAATATGACACGCAGGCAGGTGATAAGGGGACACAGCTGTCAGGTGGTCAGAAGCAGCGAATAGCCATAGCCCGAGCCATCCTCCGCAACCCCAAACTGCTGCTGCTGGATGAGGCCACTTCTGCGCTGGACACTGAGAGCGAGAAGGTGAGCACATCTTTCCATTTTCACCTGTAATGCTTGTCAGGGAGATTAAGTAAATGGTGAGTAAAGTCACCAGCTCATACAAACGACTGCTGCAGCTAAAATCCACACACAAGAAAATGGGAAATGTTGGGCTGAGAGAGTTCACATTAAACTTGAGGATGGGAGGAATACAGGAAAGTAGCCATGTTGATAAAGATGACAGCTCTGGTTTAAACTGAAACCATCTTTAGTGCTGAAAACATTCATAGTAGGAGCTCTTATAAGACCATGCTCTCTCTGTAGGTGGTGCAGGAAGCTCTGGACCAGGCCAGCAAGGGCAGGACGTGCATCGTCGTGGCCCACCGTCTGTCCACCATCCAGAACGCAGACCGCATTGCTGTATTCCAGGGAGGAGTCGTGGTGGAGCAGGGGACACATCAGCAGCTGCTGGCAAAGAAGGGGGTCTACCACATGCTTGTCAACAGACAGATGGGACACAGTGACAAATAACCCATAGTGTCCATAATCTTGAGTTCTGGATTAAACACTGGTGCCTTAGATCATCACTCCTCCCATGCAGATTCAGACAGTGGCTCCTGTGGCTTAAACCTAAATGTATAAAGTCTGAATTCTGATTGGCTGTCACTTGTGACTGTCCTTCCCACAAGAGATTTTTGACATTTGTGGGGTGCAGATGTAAACGGTAAAACTGATATTATTATTCTTTTTTGGCTTACTCACTGTTGGTGGATACAAGTTGATTAATGTGTACTTTTTTTTTAATGTGTACTTTTCCTAAGTGGCAGATTTGGCTTCTAAAGAGCCTTTTTGTGCAAGTAGAAAAAGTGACCTTTGAGATAGATATTTTTACTTGTAAGGAGAACACTGGAATTAAAAATGGCTGCATTCTTTTTAAACAGGCTAAAGTAAATTCAATGACCAGTCCTCTTTGTTCGTTTGTCTATGCACTGGTTTTATGCCTCTGACGATGGGATCATCACTGTTTGGAATAGTTTTGGGTAAAATCTTTAATATTTATACTGTTATGACTCAGTTCAGCGTCTTGGATTGAGTTGGAGGACCAAAGTACCTGAGCAGTTAAAGCCTGGGAAATGCTGCGCAAATGTTAATTTTCATTTGCGAAGTTTCTGAGGAATTCACTTAAAATGTAATTTTGTTTCTATTTTTTTTTAGAGGATGTGCTGCTTTGTAACTGTTAATGTTTTATATTCAAATAAAGGTTAAGAAAGCAAGTGTGGACATCTTCGAACTTTATTCTCAGAAAATTTGACTAAAAAAAAATTGACTACAGCTTCCCTCAAACTGGTACAATCACAGTGAAATTTCACCTTATCAAAGCAATAATCACGTTGGTGTGAGGCTCCAAATGTAGAAAGTGTTTCAACAGATTTTTACGTCAGCCACTCTTTGAAACCCAAAGTAAACACCATCACCAACATTTGGACATGAAATTAAAAACAAAGTTGCATAGTGTGTAGAAGGTATTGGTACCTGGAGAAACTGGAAGTCAAACCTTGGCTTTAACAAACTTACACGAGTCGTGCCTACTTCTCTCTTTTAATGAGTTTAAATTAGCTCAGTGTGTGCACTTCATGCGATGGGGTACATTCACGTCCTCTTGTGGTATTCAAGTGCATTTCCTTTATCTGTAGGCACTGTTTTGACAAGACAATCAAATATTTGTCCAAATAGTCAGTAGAAGCTTGTTTCTGCCATCCATTAGTACAAATTTCAGGTTCTTTTAGTGAAGTAGAAATGTTGAATTTACTCTGCAAAAGCTTTAGAAACGAGCTTCCCTACAGTGTTACGATTCAGTTCAAGCCTAACAGCTCTTTTCTACGGTTACTGGAAAAGAGCTTTTTCACAGTGAAAACTAAGGCGAGTCGTTAGCCACTTAGCGGTTAACATTTTATCTTAAAATGTGGAATAATACTGTCAGGATTTCAAACTATACAGTCAAAAAAAAAAACGAGCATTGAATCAGGAAGAAAGAGGAAAAAAAAAAAGTACAGTTTACGCTATGTTAATAACTACATAAAATCTTGAGTAATTTACGTTTACATTAAAAAAAAATACGAGGTACAGATTCTGCACCTTTGCATTGATTCGTGCTGATCTAGCTGTCACCATTTAATACAACTACAAGTGCATTGATATTTAAAACGGGCTCTTTGTGGTACAACATGGACATTAAAACAAACTGAAAACTTAGACATTTTTGATTAAGGATTTTCAACAGCATTAATCTGCAAGTGTTGCATCTTACTGTATTTTTTTTTTTTTTACCCTTTTATTACCATCCTTTGATAATGCATCTATTGAAGCGGGCGGTTCTCAAAGGGATCATTTTGTGTGGGTTGAAAGAGGAGTCATTAAATTATCCTGTTTCCCCGCTTAAGTAGGTTTATAGCTGAGAAGTGGTGGCTAAGTGGAGCATCTCATGCAGGCAGCTACTGAAGCTATTGAACAGTGATGGAGCATCAGTCTCATGGCAGGATTTCCACGCTGACATGGAGATCACAATCCTAGAAAAAAGAGGAGCGGAGATCTGAATACAGCTACTGAAAATCTCAGAGGAATGTTTCCAGAACCTTGTTGAGTCTGTCATGAAGAATTAAGACAGTTGTGCAGGTAAACCTGGGTGCAACACAGTATTTGCAAGGTGTACCTAATAAAGTGGCCAGTAAGTGTATACATCTTTAGCTTGCTTTTTATAAATTCTACAGAACTGGCAAATCTCACATATGCAGCACAGGTTCACCAAAAACCCACACACAGGTTTTCAGGTCAGTGAAAGCCCGTTTCATGTGCTCACCTGTCATCCCTGATGCGGTAAAAGAAGCCGTAGCCATGCTGCACCATGGGAGCCACAGCCCCGAGAACTGTAGTGTAGCCCACCAGACTGGATGACAGCACGAAGTTACCCCCACCGCCACTGCAGACACAAACAACAGTCACAGACAGAAACCTAATGCACTGCCTTTGCTCTGCAGCAGCTACTCTGGAGAAGCAGATTTCTGGATACTGCACTGTAACATTCTAGGATTTAATATTTAATTAAATTATTTCCAATAGATCATACATTATAAACTAGTAGAGCAGAAATTTAATTTACTGCTTTCATGCAATAAACCAGCTCTGGGTGGCGTACCTCTTTGTGTAAAGGGGATCCATAAATAATTCTGGGGTTGGACGTCCCTCCTCCTTGGCAATAAGATACAGCCCCAGAAGATGCCTGTCAAAACCTGGCAACAATATCACACGACCGCATGAAGTAGGGCATAAAAACTCAAAGAGACTACAAATATGGTTCTTTGTGATGTCAGAAGCCTTGGTTCAGCCCGCAAGTCCTACATAGGGAAGCTGACGGGCTAAACGATTTTGTACAACAGTTAAATGTAGATGTTGAACTAAAGCAGATTTTTACTGGCTCAGAAGAGTCCAGTGGGGGGTGTAGCAGCTCCGTTTTGCTCAATCAGGCAAACAAAAATTAAGCCAACAAGTTTAATATCAGAAACAAAACTACCAGTGATCAAAGTCATTGTTTTATTGATGATACTTTGGCCCTACATCTCTATTCTGCACACTGCTTGTAGCTGCACCTCATATCTGAGACTAAAACGGGACAGTCAGGGCCAAGTGTAGTCAGGAAAAAGCACGAAGCAGGAATCACAAAGTGAACTAACCTTGTCCTTCCTGTGCTTCAGCCATCAGGTTGTTGTGTCTACTGAAGGCTTGCAGCATGGCCTTCCTCCTGACACCATCCTGAGAGGAAAACATTTAAGTCGATTATGATATGATGACGATTATGAGATTGCTTCTTCTCTCCTGCTCTTCTGTGATTTTCCCAAATACTGTCACACACTCACATTGCATGTGGGGTCCGTCATGGTTTTACACCAATTCACAGCCTCCTGGGTGCAGGGGCGCATCGTCTCAGTCCTGCCGTGATAAAATTTGCGCGTCATTGCCGTCTCATAACAACTTCCTGGCCTGTAAGAGGAAAGAGGACACCTTCAGGGCCACGAATGTCACTGACAATAATGATAATAAAAGTGTGTGCTTAACCACAGCTTACTTCTTGTGCAGTCTGTAGTAGGCCAGCTGCATCGCCAGCTGAACAAAAGTGTCTGGATGGAGCTTCTTCTGTTTGATGGTAGATTTACCAAATGCTGTGAAAGCATAGCACACAACCTGGAGGTCTTGTGCCTGGAAAACCGAGAGAGAACGAATGGTTAAATGCTCTGGACCACACAGCAAACGTCAGCATGACTGATGACGCCTGCAAATAATCAATTTCCCATCTTATGTTTCCGCTGCTGTGCTTCTAATATGTTTTCGTTGTTCAGCCACATGGAGTTTAACTCAATCAGATTTTCTTCTGCAGGAAAATAAAATCAGTGAAAAAAAGGCTGCACACCATTTCAAATGTGACTTTTTTCAAATTTCAATCCTAACCTTGCATCACAGATTCAGTGTTTGCAGTTAATCTATGGAGGATTTTAGTTTCACCACAGCAGGAACAGCTCAACAACATCCACTCTCGTACTATTAGGTTGTTCAGAGGAGTGTCCTGTGTGCGTGTGTTTTCTCAGGTTTTTATATGTGCAGCTTGTTAAACTGTACCATAATAACATCAAGAATTACACCCCGCTTTAAAGACACAGCAGTTCAAACTGTGCATCACACTGTCGCTGAAACCTGACTTTAAGACAATCACTGAAATGTATAAAGGTTATCACACTTGACTCTAATCTGCGGCTGAGAACAGAGGACACACAACATGAAAAGCTGTTCAATCAATAAAATTCATTTCACTTTGATCTACACCAAACTGAAGTGATTTCCACGTCTCTAATCAAGTTTCATATCTGTAATCTGTAGCTGTCATGTCACAAATAAACAGCAGCACCAGGAGCATTAAAACAAACTGAAACATTTTTTCATTGAGGATTTTCACCAGCATTAATCTGCAAGTGTTGCATCTTACTGTATTTTTTTACCCTTTTATTACCATCCTCTGATAATGTATCTGATCGAAGCGGGCGGTTCTCAAAGGGATCATTTTGTGTGGGTTGAAAGAGGAGTCACATGACGTGTGAAAAGCCCCTTTTTTTATGTGAGCGCGCTCAGAGCGGAAAGCCTAGCTTAAAAGAGAAAGTTACTGATGACTGTTGTTATAACCGTCATCTCCGTGTGGGGTTTTAGGTGTTGAACTTCCTTCATAGTACACTAGTACCTAATAATATTTTATCCATATATAAAGATAAAACATTTTATTATATTCTTACATGACTATATTCTAGATCCTTTTTTTATATTTCATATCTTTAGATTTATATTTATTTATTTTATGTTAGACTCATGTTGTGCAGTCTGATGACGACTAAAAGCACTGAATTTTTGCTCTGATATAACTTCTGAATGACCTTAAAGTGGCTTTTCTATGCTATTCTATTCTATGAGGTTTCTGTAAATGTGTTTTCACATCTTTCCTTGACAGAATTATGTGTTTTCCAGCAAGTTCATGGAAACGTGCCTATTTTGCCTATTTCAAGACAGCCTATTCAGTGTCATCAGGGGTTTTCTGAGGTTTCATTTGGGATTAACGATAGCTCACCGACTCGATGTATTGCTTTTTGGCATGACTGATATCGCCAATGACTTTTTCATCCATAGTGAACACCAGCTCCTCGGGGAAGGACACCAGTCTGACTGCATCTGAGCCCTGAAAATCCCAGACATGCATGTGTGTCAGAAAAATGAAAAGAATAGTCAGGAAATGTTTGACACAATGTGCACCGTCAAGTGTTTACCTTCCATTTGCCCTCTGTAGCTTTGAGCTGCTGGTCCAAATACCAGCACATAGACACCAGCACCATAGCATCATACGGCGCATGCTGCGAAACAAGTCGAGTTTTTAAGGTATTAAAACAGCTGATTTTGGTTGGACTGCATGTTTCACTGGCAAATCAATGAGTACAATCATCTTGAACCTCAGCGCAGCTTTGTACGAACAAGCACACTCACATCACAATTGGATCCGAATGTGCCATCTGAGAACACGACTGAGTTGTACGATTTGTCACCCCAGCGGATGGTGGGGTTGCCGGTGAGAGCTTCTGCAGTCATCTGAACTCAAAAGTACAAAATTTGGAAAGAAAATAAATAAATAAGTAAATCAGACACAACTCTTTCTCATGATTTAAATAGCGAGTCATATTTTAGATCTGCGCAGTCCGTACATTTGAGTAGTTCTCTGGGGTAGAGTAGGGTTTCACTTCATCCAGAGAAATGACGAACAAGCTGCTCTGGATGGTCTCTAGGATGGTGTTATTGTGTGGATCGATGCTTATAAGATGCTCTCTGGCCTGCAGTGAAAGTAAACAAAGCGCTAATCATGAGATACGCCACAGTAACATGAGACCTTCTTCACAAACTATATTCACTTTTTTTTTTAAAAATCCTCCAAACATGAGCGCCCCTACCTTCGCCCAGCGAGTCCTCTCCTCTGAGGTGAGCACAGCCACGCCGTCTCCCTCAGGCTCTGAGTCACAGCGCTCCTTCACATAGCTCAGCTGCCTGAAAAGGTAAACAAACACATGCTGCATCAGCCTTGTTTGCTCTTCACTCTGCAGCTTTAACCAAATTATACAGGACATCTGGAGGAAAATGAATGGATGATTAGGCGATGAGTGTGGACTGCTTCCCATAATGATGAACAAAAATAAAACACTTTAATATGTAAAACAGACAAAATAAATATTTTAGACTTCTGTATGTTTTATGTAACCTGAAAAAAGCCAAACAACACTAAACATAAACAGACTTCAGCCTAAATGAAATGAAATGAACCTCCTGCATACGGGGGATCTTCTTGAAACTGAAGCAGAAAGGAAATGGTATACACCCCTAACTTATCTCAGCAGCGTGTTGCGCTGACCAACGCATCAAGAAAGCTGATTGGTTCATCCAAACAAGCACTAGTCTGCTGCGTGTGACTAAAGGGGCTACGTTTTTCAGCTCGCCTGGTTCTGCTGGACGTCACAACTGTTGCCAAGTGCTTCCTCAAAGGGCATCAACTGATAGTTGAGACTTATTTCAATATAAAAGCACCTTAATTTAAACGTTGGTGTGGATTGGTGCTATATAATCAAATGGAAAAAAATTATTATTTTCTTTTTTTGGAACATTTCAAATAGATTCTCTAACTAATATTACTGCTCGCTGTGTGATACTGATCATCCAAGAAGTCTGTGCCTCAGTTTGGGTAAGTCTGATACTAGCCCTTAGCATCCGTATTATAACCTCTGACTCGAAAAACCAAACCAGTGCTAAAGTCCAAACCCAGTGAGTGACATCACAATGGTTCTGTCCATGTTTTATATGTTATGCATGTGAAACAGCCCCCTGGTGGACACACTGTACAAGTACACTATGTTGTAAATCTGTAGCATATGAAGAAGGCAAATTGGTAGCATAATTTCAGGTTTCGTGTGCTTTTTTTTTTTTCCCCTTACTGCACCTTAAAGCCTTTTCTTACAGTGGTAAAAATAAATAAATAAATAAATAACCTCCAAAAGTTGATTCTGTTCATCTGGACGTAGTGTTTTGTGGGAGAAACATTTTGTCACTCATCCAAGTCACTTCTGGTTTCCCCAATCTTATAAACAGTACATTGGCATAATGACTGAAACCAGTCCACTGAGGGACAATGGGCTGGGAGGTCAGTTCCTTAATCTTAGGTAGCTCAGAGCTACCTCGTCAGGCCAGGACTCAGCAGTCTATTTACACCTACAGGCCAGTGGATACTCTTTCAAGGATGAGGATGTACACATCCTGGACAGGGAGGAACGCTGTTTTTTTGCGCAGAGTCAAGGAAGCCATTTACGTGTAAAGGGAAAGACCATCTCTGAATCGAGGAGGGGACCTAATGGTACATCTTTCGCCATCTTACAATGCTGTGATTGCAGCCATTCCCCAACTCTCTGTGAATGGTACTCATGGCCATTGATCAGTGGTTGTTGATCAATGGTCATGAGAATTTGCATAATTAAGATTAAGGAACTGACCTCACAGCCCATTGTTCCTCAGTGGTGCTGGTTTCAGTCATTATGCAAATGTACTGTTTATAAGATTTGGGGAAACCTGCAGTCAGCTGAGACTGAAGAAGTCACTTGGATGAGTGACGAAATGTTTCTCGCACAAAACGCTACGTCCAGAAGAACAGAATCAACTTTTGGAGATTTACTTTCCTGGATGATTGAGAATGCATCAAGACGATAAATAAAAAAACAGTAGAAATTTTCTGATGATGAGGTGCTTTTCTTTAATAGTTCTACTTGTTTACTTCTACATAAATACAGAGTGTCATAAATACTTCTACTAAAATATTTCATGCATCTTTGCAACTCTCTGTCCCCTCTCTGTGGGAGGGATGCAAAGACAGAAGCAAGCTGATGTGTTATCCAAATGTGACCACAGCCTCCCTGCTCCTCAGCTGAGGCAGAAGAGCTCTTTGGGCTACGTAGTGGAATACTGGTCAACAAGGTTTATAATATTGTTATTATTTTTTATTTTTTAACTCTTTCCTAAAGAAAGAGTTATGTCCTCTTTCTTTTGCTACTGGTTCTGTTGAGGCTTACAAATGCTGGATATGTAAAATATGAGCAAATATTTTGTGCATAAAAATTATTTTTTGGATTCACTAATTCTTAATATGGCTTTTCATTTTGAACCAAACTTGATTTTTCAGATGTTTTACATGTGAATACATAGATCTGACCAATCAGAACACTGTGCTCACAGTTCAAAGCTGAAAGTACACATAGTGCAATAATACTATTTTATCTCAGACACAGCTAGATGCTGCTCTAGCTCTGAGATAAAATTGCCCCCCTGACATCCTGAAACATCTAAAAACACAACACTTCTGTTTGTATATACGCTACACAACAAGTATGAATCTGAGACATTCAGAATTGTGTCGCTTTTTGGCTGCACTAACTGTGTAAAGGCCTTCAGTCTGTTTAGTCTGGATACAAGGTTTCTAATTGGGTTTTACTCTCAAGTGCGTTTAATCTTTACCTGAGAATTTCTGGAGGAGTGAGGATTTCTCCATCACAAAGTGCATCAAATGTGAATATCCTCCCCCGGCACATCACTACCAAATGGGAGGGGCACGGACCCTCACGCTCTGTGACACAGCACAGCATGCATGTTACACAAGGGTGACAGGCAAGCAGAGGAAAAAGGGTCAAAGTGCCGCAGGTAAGTTTGCGGCAAAGATAAGAGCAGAGTTTATTCTACCTGTCTTGAAGTAGTTTCGGATGGTGTCTTTCTTCACTCCGGGTACTTTACAGGTGCAGAAGAGCATTCTGAACTGGTCCATGTCCAACGGCGTTTTCCCTGCTTTCTGAGGAGCCAGCCTCTCTCTAAAATAAGCAGTGACGGAAAGATATTTAAATGCAAAAAAGACAGAGCAACACATCCTAAAACACAGCTTTCATACATGCGAGTGTGCTCGTCTTACGTGCGAAGTAGGTTCCAGTACTGCAGTGTGTGCCATGTGATAATACTGGCCCTCTGCAGGTAAGTTCCCTCAGCAGGTGGCCAGCAGTGCTCCAGGTAGGGTGCTGGGCCACCAAAGTTCACATTGAGCTGAGAGGGGATGCGCAACTCCAGATACGCCGTGTCCAACCACCATTCTTCCAGCTGGAGGACAAAGCAAACAAAAACATCAAACAGTCAACTGCATCACACTTGTAACTAAAGAGGAGACGCTAAAGACAAAAACAAGGCTTTTATATCTCAAACACACACCCAGTTCTTCTTTGTCTTGGCTCTCTGGAGGAGTTTCTTGTGCAGCTCCTGGCCAACACCCGCTTGGAATTTCCTCACAGTCTCCTTCGTAGCTTTAAAGTCTTTCTCAGAGGCGAATGGACGAACTGAAGCACAATAAAGTGAAAACATGGAAGATTAGTCCCTCTGTTAAACAAGTGCGCCAGCTTCTGGTCATTTTGTTTTGATGTAGTAACTGCTTTCAAAAACAACAAGTCTGATCGCACCTGTTTATTCAAAGGATTCTTTGTTTTGTTTTACTTTACAGCAGAACGAGCAGAAAATATACAAATGAAACAAATGAAATGATGCAGAGACAGAAATGTGCCAACAAAGCTAGAGTGCTTTGTTTTTCATTCACACTTCCGGCACACTAATAATCTTACTGAATGATTTCTTTAGCCTTTGGTACAAAGAAAAAGTCCTATTCAATTTAATTCAACTTTATTTATATAGCGCTAAATCACAACAATCAAATCACTTGGTGACAGCGGGGAGGGAAAAAGAAACAATCATGCTACTCTTTCAATCAATGTTATTAGACAAACTGGTCATGAAAGAGAAACTGAAGACTCATCGTTACTTTCAGACAGTCAGTCTGAAACATTTTAACATTGTTTAAAGCAGGGGTGTCAAACATAAGGCCCGGGGGCCAGAACTGGCCGGGCAAAGACTCCAATCTAGCCCACTGGATGGCTTAGGAAAATGTCAAGGACATAAAACAGAACACACAAAGAACATAAAAGTTTGGACCTTCAACTATATTTTTACAAGTTTTACAGCTTTTCTTACTGATAACGAAATACCCCATGGGCGTTCATGCTATACCAAAGTAATTAAATATTACATTTACAACTTAAATTTAAGCCCAGTCCTGCTGACAGATTTCATTCATTTACTACAGCAGCATTTCTACATAATGTAGAAAAACTAACAGATACTATTGAAATTGCTCTTCTTTGTCTTATATTAAAACATCTCAGCAATTAAATGTGTAGTTAAACTTCTTTACACTGACAGGTCTGACCCACATAAGATCAAAGTGAGCTGTATGTGGCTCGTGATGTAAAATGGTTTGAAGTGTCCATAAACTTTAGGCAGGACCACCCTGAGAAAATAAGGTGAAAAATCATGGTTAGAGTTATCGGCAGAAATGTGAAATTCTGACTGATGTTAAAGGTAAAAGCAGGACAATAAACCCCAAACAAACCCAACCTAAATCCAGCTGTTTGACTGAGTTGTATACGTGCTGACTGCTGGAAAAGCTCAGGCTGATCACATTAAACAGCTGGTTGAGAGAGTAACGAAAACAAAATGTGGCCGCTTTGTAGAATTTCCACTTCTATTAGTGGAAGTCCTTCTAATCCTCCTCACAACCAGTGTAGAGATGGAAACCAAAGACAGCAAAGCGAGCTCTGTGTAGTGATCGAAAGAATGAGATTGCACATACAAGAGGTGGAAATGAGCTTTTTCTGAAGGGTGGCTTGCCTCTAACTTTGAGTCAGCGTGAGGAGTTCAGTCATGAGGAGCTCAGAGTACTAGTGTAATTTTAGTATCGATTCAATATAAAGTGATCCATAATTAATAAGCTATAATTATCCCACAAAGGCAGCTTATTTTGTGGAGTGCAGCATGTCATGATTTATGAGATGAATCAACATCAATTTGCAATTCTGGACACATTTTAATAACCAGTAAATCAGTGATTTTTACTTTCCACAACAACATGGTAATGCACAACAATCATGCCATCATCGACCTGTTACCAGTACCAGCGTTGGTATCGATACTATCAATATTTGGATCGACGCAGGACAACAGAATTATCTCCACTGAACACACCAACATAATCATTACTTGGCTGGATAGAAAAAGAAGGAGAAACAGCAAGTCAGTGGGTGACATTTTTCTTTTAGGTGTGGGTGAAAGTGGCCAATCATTAGAAACTGCAAAAAGAGATCAAATTATTAAGGTGGCCTGCCTATAATCCTGTTTTTAAGCCACCATTACAAGACATAAGATGTAGACAGTGGGTTTACTGCAGTATTACATCTATATCTTGAATTGCCAAGGGGTGGCATTTGTGTGGTTTTAAGGAGATGTGTCAGAAACATAAGTAGGATAAAGATGATTTTTTACAGATATTTGAAGCTTTGTGATTTACTTTTCCAAAAAAATTAAAGGTCTGTGTCCAAATGAAGTCCCTAATGTTATCCAGATATTCATGGATGCTTATAACTTAGGGAATAGAAATGGTCTAGTAAGTAGGCTGTACCGTAGTACTGTAACAATGAATAAGGACGAAACAAACTATGCTAAACAGCGCAGAGTAAAGGGACTGAACATTGTTATTACTGAAGAGGAATGGCTCCACACTTGGAAAACATCTTCTTCCACCAGCTCTCACACCTGGAGGGACTTTTGTTGGAAAAACCAGACCCACTTCTTTATCACTCCCAAGCAGAAGTCAAAACAGATAGGGACTCGACTGCTGCTCCAGTCAACTGAGGTATCTGACCAGCATACCTCCTGCGACTCCTTGGTGAAGTGTTTTGTAAATGTCCCACTAAAAGGGAGACCCAAGGGCCGATCCAGGACATGCTGGACAGATTATGTATGCGAGTTGGCTTGGGAACATCCAAATGAGCTGGAGAAGGTGTCAGGGGAGAGGGGAGGTCTGTCTGCCTCCCTGCTTAGATTGCGCCCCCCGTCACCCAGATACAGAACATGGAAAATGGTTGGGTGGATGGATGGATACAGAAAATACTCATAT